AGGTAACCGATCAACTGCGCCCAAGCGGCTGACTAGAGGGTGTGAACCAGCACCACCCACAATTTATGAGGGGTTTCAGAGGGGTTGACCAGACAGCAGACCTTTAATCCTCAGGATTATCAGTTGAATCAAGAGATGCTGGGGACAATTAGGCACAATTAGTTACTGCTGCTTCCTACACTATGATGACAAGATTTTCAATTTGTTGCTTTAACACAAATAATGTGTATGTAAACAAAGGAGCAAAAAGCATCATCAAAAAAAGAGGTCAAATGAGAATAGACAGAATGCTCTTATATTTATTGCAAGTATTCTTTATTCTATTTACATGTGTGTTTATTTACAACAAAGTAATCCATCTCTCTCGCTCTTTCTTAGATGTTTGACAACTAAATTAATGTCCTCGTTTCTTAAGCAGTATGATTAAAAAACAAAATAAATTGAGCCTAAATAACAAAGTAACAAAAAGAACAGGACCGACTAACACGTTTCATTTTTGATACAACAGGAGCAAGTTCATTTACAATACGGAAAAAAATAAATACTATTGACAAGTAGCATTCTATCGACTACAAGTAATTTAAAAATAAGTATTTGTACATTCGTCAAACTCACCTTTAACATATACCATGACTTCCATATATTGGCAGAATATATGTATTGATGTGCATGTTTAGATCGTGTATAATCTTTGCAGGGACCATGCTTTTATATTATCATTATTTGTCAATAATAATCTGTGCCTCTCATCCTTTACATTCCACATTGTTAAATGCATCATATATACCATACATATCTTTGCTGTTTGCTCAGTTTGATTTTATGACTGTAGTCATGGGAGAAGTGCCAATTGTTGGAACATAAATGAAAATATTGAGAAACAACACACATTTACTGGGTACAACATGGAAAAGACGTCAACTAATAAAAATAGTATAACATTTTATTTTAATTTTTATATGCAATCACCTTTTCACCAATGCTGGCTTCTATCTCTTATAAGGGCAGTGTCTGAATGAGAACTATACCTGTTATTTGAGAAGGTTTCTTGCTTCTTAGCTTTCCCCACATTACAAAATACTACAGTTTACTATAGAATACTACAGTACTTACTATAGAATTATGTAGTAAACTGTAGTATACTGTAGAATACTATACTACACTGTAGTATCCCTCGATCATGTGTAGTACTTACTGTAGAATTTTGTAGTATACTGTATTATTCTATAGTAAATACTACAGTATTATCTGCAAAAAAAACACTGTAGTAAATACTGCACTAATATCCTTTAAACACTACCCATTCCCCTCCCCCATATCCCAATTTCTGCTACCCATAGGTGAGAAACCTAAATTCCAAGTATAGACCATATGCAGTGCATTCGGAAAGTATTCAGATGCCTTCACTTTTTCCACATTTTGTTACGTTACAGCCTTATAAAAAATTAAAATAAATTGTTAATCATCAATCTACTCATAATACCACATAATGACAAAGCAAAAACAGGTTTTTAGACATTTTTGCTGATTTATTAAAAACTAAAAAACAGATACCTTATTTACATAAGTATTCAGACCCTTTGCTATGAGACTCGAAATGTCGCTCAGGTGCATCTCGTTTCCATTGATCATCCTTGAGATGTTTCTACAACTTGATTGGAGTCCACCTGTGGTAAATTCGATTGACTGGACATAATTTGGAAAGGCACGCACCTGTCTATGTAAGGTCCCACAGTTGACAGTGCATGTCAGAGCAAAAACCAAGCCATGAGGTCGAAGGAATTGACCGTAGAGCTCGGAGACAGGATTGTGTCGAGGCACAGATCTGGGGAAGGGTACCAAAAAATTTCTGCAGCATTGAAGGTCCCCAAGAACACAGTGGCCTCCATCATTCTTAAATAGAAGAAGTTTGGAACACCAAGACTCTTCCTAGAGCTGGCCGCCCGGCCAAACTGAACAATCGGGGGAGAAGGGCCTTGGTCAGGGAGGTGACCAAGAACCCGACTGGTCATTATTACAGAGCTCTAGAGTTCCTCTGTGGAGATGGGAGAACCTTCCAGAAGGACAACCATCTCTGCAGCACTCCACCAATCAGGCCTTTATGTTAGCGTGGCGAGACGGAAGCCACTCCTCAGTAAAAGGCACATGACAGCCCGCTTGGAGTTTTCCAAAAGGCACCTAAAGGACTCTCAGACCATGAGAAACAAGATTCTCTGGTCTGATGAAACCAAGATTGAACTCTTTGGCCTGAATGCCAAGCTTCACATCTGGAGGAAACCTGGCACCATCCCTACGGTGAAGCATTGTGATGGCAGCATCATGCTGTAGGGATGTTTTTCAGCAGCAGGGACTGGGAGACTAGTCAAGATCGAGGGAAAGATGAACGGAGAAAAGTACAGAGAGATCCTTGATGAAAACCTGCTCCAGAGCGCTCAGGACCTGAGACTGGGGTGAAGGTTCACCTTCCAACAGGACAACGACCCTAAGCACACAGCCAAGACAACACATGAGTGGCCAAGCCAGAGCCCGGACTTGAACCCGACCGAAAAGAGAGACCTGAAAATAGCTGTGCAGCGATGCTCCCCATCCAACCTGACAGAGCTTGAGAGGATCAGCAGAGAAGAATGGGAGAAACTCCCCAAATACAAGTGTGCCAAGCTTGTAGCGTCATACCCAAGAAGACTCGAGGCTGTAATCGCTGCCAAAGTTGCTTCAACAAAGTACTGATTAAAGTGTCTGAATACTTATGTAAATGCAACATATTCTCTTTTTTTTTTTTATAAATGTGCAAATATTTCAAAAAACCTGTTTTTGCTTTGTCATTATGGGGTATTGTGTGTAGATTGATGAAGAAAAACATATTTTATCAATTTTAGAATAAGGCTGTAACGTAACAAAATGTGGAAAAAGTCAAGGGGTCTGAATACTTTCCGAATGCACTGTAATGTGTTCCCTACAGGTTATTGAAAAGAGCAGGAGCTCTGAACTATCTGTTCAGACCCCAGTCCTACCTACTGTACCTACAGGTTGTGGAAAATTTGCTCTTTTAGTATTTCTCCAGTAGGTTTCCTCAAGGAGAAAGCCTCCATTTCTATGTCAAAGATAATAAAACAAAAGCACTATAGTAAATACGACAGTATACTACAATCTGCAAAAACACTACATTAATTACTATAGTATATACACTAGTTATTTTACTACAGTATTTATACTATATTTAACTGTAATTACTACAGTATACTACCCTGAATACTACAGTAAAGTCTGCAAAAACACTAGTGAATACTTTTAGTATTTATGCCATAATATACTATAGTATTATTTTCATAGGGTCGTTGCAAGAGAATAGCTGGTCCATTTTTCACACACTGTTCCTGGACTTACTGCAAATCACATCAAACTGTTTCCATGTCAAAGTGTGTGTTGCTACATGCCAGGGTTAGAGAGGATATCAATACACACTTCCTCTACAGTACATACTGTCACTTGCATATGACCTCACCATTATACACACTTGTATCCATGGACAATACAGTATCTAGTATGTTTTCTGCCCTTAGAAATGTTGATTGACAAATCAACCCATTAATTCAACAAGTACTTTTTTTCAGAAGAGCCACAAAAAATGATCACATCCTCTGAATTTCTGTAGAATGGTTTTATACTGAACAAAAATATAAACACTACATGTAAAGTGTTTCATGAGCTGAAATAAAAGATCCCAGACATTTTTCATATGCACAAAAAACTTATTTCGCTTTAGGTTTGTGCACACATTTGTTTACATCCCTGTTAGTGAGCATATCTCCTTTGCCAAGATAATCCATCCACCTGACAGGTGTTGCATATCAAGAAGCTGATTAAACGGCATAATCATTACACAGGTGCACCTTGTGGAGGGGACAATAAAAGGCCACTCTAAAACACAACACAATGCCACAGATGTCTCAGGTGTTGAGGGAGCGTGCAATTGGCATGCTGACTACAGGAATTTCCACCAGAGCTGATGCCAGTGAATTGAATGTTCATTTCTCTACCATAAGCCGCCTCCAAAGTCGTTTATAGAGAATTTGGCAGTATGTCCAACTGGCCTCACAACCACAGACAACGTGTAACCATGCCAGCAAAGGACCTCCACATCTGGCTTCTTCACCTGCGAGATCGTCTGAGACCAGCCACCCGGACAGCTGGTGAAACTGAGGAGTATTTCTGTCTGTAATAAATCCCTTTTGTGGGGAAAAACGTATTCTGATTGGCTGAGCCTGGCTCCCCAGTGGGTGGGCGGGCCTATGCCCTCCCAGGCCCACCAATGGCTGCGCCCCTGCCCAGTTGTGAAATCCATAGATTAGCGCCTAATGAATTTATTTCAATTGACTGATTTCCTTCTATAAACTGTAACTCAGTAAAATCTTTGAAATTGTTGCATGTTGCGTTTATTTTTGTTCAATATAGAAGGTAAGCGGTTCACTACAAAACCCAAAAATAAAATGAAAACCGGGAGATCTACAATATACAAATCTACAGGATAAAGGTGAAAGAGCTTTCTATTGGCAGCAGAAAAAGATAACATATTCATAATGCAAACACCAAGATGTAAAATACACTATCAAAACAGAACAGTTTTAAAATGGGGGTCTCTCGATGAAGCCACTTCTGCACTTCTGTTCCTCATGCAAAAGTATAGGGTTTTAAACTTGTTTAGTTGTCCTTATAAGTCTCCTTAACTTCATGGCCAATGCTTTTCTCCACCTTGTTTTGCCCATCCTCATGATGGTTGCCTATAGGCACAGTAAGAAGTCAACTGCAAAGACAGTCACGCAGTTCCTCTGAGCACCAAAGTCCAATGCTCTAGGCGGTCATGCCTCATTAATCTCACAAGACTGCACTGCCGTACAGTATAGCTTCAAAAATATAAATATAGATTTATCTAAAGCCCAACCCTATCATGGCCCTTTAAAAAAAATCCAACTTCTCCATCCTTTCCTATGAAGAAAGTCATTTTAGCTGCTCTCATTCCACTCAGGCATGACGCTGACGCTGTGCACTGTGTGGTACTGATGAGGCGACAGCGTGCGCGGGATCCCGTGTGAGTACAGGTACTCATTGCCTTGGAGACCTGTGGTGGGCGACTGGATACCTGCCCCGGGGCTACACTGGCGGCCCAGAGTTTGGTGGGCCATGGGGCCCTGGTATATGGCGTGGTGGGCTTCGCCCAGCTGCGGGGAGGCGTGGCTTGCCACCCCGCTCAGTCTGGACACCAGGGGCCCCGAGGTAAAGTGGGCGGAGAAGTGCTGGTAGGGCAGCCGCTCCATTGGCTGCATGGAGGTGACGGAGCAGCTGCCATAGGGCGAAACGCCGGCCCAGGTGTTGCAGCTGATGTCCTCCAAGCTGGGGACGGGCTCGGCCCCTTGGGAGGCGCTGGCGTACATACAGGCCTGCCTCTGGCCAGACTCGGTCCTGTAGGGCCCCCCGGGCAGGCCCAGGCTCTGAGGGTAGGTGACGGGACGGTAGTAATGGTCGTCCTCGCTGGAGGAGCTCTCCAGGTAAGCCTTCTTGTAGGTGTGCTCCCCTGAGTGACAGTCATCATCCACTACAGACAGGAAACAGTTACAGTACATATTTTTACTTTAGCAATCAACTATGTTTTCCATTTCTATGCTTCCTAACAACCCATCCCATTGGCATGCATGGCTTATATATCATGATAGCCTGGCCCACCTTTCCTCTTGATGCAGTGGTAGTCCTGGCTATGCTCGTGGGGCAGGGGGTAACAGCCAGACTGGGGCAGGAGGTCCTGTGAGGTGCTGGTGACCCCGTTCTCACACTGGGTGTACTGGGAGGCCAGGCCACTGGGAGTGACCATGCCCTGCACCTCCCCACTGAATGGGCTCTGGCTGGTGCCCACTCTCTGGCGCACCGTACTGCGAGGGACCACCGGGTATTCCTTAGTACTGCAAACATATACACACACACACACACACACACAGACAGGGTTACGAAATTATCATAACACTTATCGTACTGTATGCTTCTTCAATTTACACTGAGTGTACAAAACATTTGGACCACCTTCCTAATATTGAGTCGCTCGCCCTTTTCCCTCAGAACAGCCTCAATTCGTCGGGGCATGGACTTTACAAGGTGTCGAAAGCATTCCACAGGGATGCTGGCCCATGTTGACTCCAATGCTTCCCACATTTGTGTCAAGTTGTCTGGATGTCATTTGGGTGGTGGACCATTCTTGATACACACGGGAAACTGTTGAGCGTGAAAAACCCAGCAGCGTTGCAGTTCTTGACACACTCAAACTTGTGCACCTGGCACCTACTACCATACCCTGTTCAAAGGCACTTAAATATTTTGTCTTGCCTGCTCATTCACCCTCTGAATTGCACACATGTCTCAATTGTCTCAAGACTTGAAAAAATCATTTAACCTGTCTCCTCCCCTTCATCTACACTGATTGAAGTAGATTTAACAAGTGACATCAATAAGGGATCATATCTTTCACCTGGATTCACCTGGTCAGTCTATGTCATGGAAAGAGCAGGTGTTCCTAATGTTTTGTATTTATCACCACCACTACTACTACTACTACTACTATAATTACCATTAGTATTACTAATAGTAGTGATTATTAAATGGCCCAGTGCAGTCAAAAATGTGATTTTCCTGTGTTTTATATATATTTCCACACTGTGGTTGGAATAATACTGTGAAATTGTAAAAAAAATTGTGTAAGAGCTGTTTGAAAAGATGGCCTGAAATTTCAGCCTGTTTTGGTGGGATGGAGTTTTGGCCTGCCTGGTGACATCTCCAGGCAGTAAATTAGTTAATAGACCAATAGGAAAGAGAGCTCCAAACCTCTCTGCCAATAACAGCTAGTTTTCCGTTGTTTCCTCCCCATTCAGACCACTCCAAGACAGTACTAGCAAAAGTCTTGCTAAGAAGCTATTTTAGTTTTAAGAAATTACCATTTTAATTGAGAACAATCAGAGTAAGGTACTTCATTGTTACCCAGAAATGATTTGCTATTGAGATAAAAATGGCTGCATTGGACCTTTAATCATCACCTAATTATCTTCCTTATAGTATTTATTCATTTATTTGCATTCATATTGCATTTACACATGCAAAAGAAGATAAATATGTTGCTGCCCCTGACCTCAGTCATTAACCATGGCTGACTTGTATACACAGTCTCTTTCATCCATTGATCTGACACTATACACTTCTCAATACTAACAAACCACACTGACTATCAATGAGTCACACCCACTTAGGATCCACTGAGAAAGTGTTCCGGAGGATCAGTTTCCAGTGAAAAGAAAGGAATTTATTCCAGTCCCATTAATCTAGAGGATCCATGAATGGACCGTTTTTGCTACTTCTGTTTCTTTGATTTCTTTGACTGTTTCTTTTGAACCAGTGACCTCATTTTGCAATAAGCTCTCCCTTGGAAATACTAACCAAGACCAGACGTGCTGAGCTTACTGTACTTACTTGGCATGACAGGACAGTGGCATGTAGGAGTTATGGTGTGGTTTGGCCTTTGGCCAATTGAAATCAATTTACAAATGTCTATACAAAATAACTATCCCACTTACAGAAGTATTATCTTGTGACATAAACCAACTTAATCAACATCTGACTGAGATAACCCAATATTAAATATACAATATCAATTTGTGAACACCCCAGTGATGAATAAAAAATTACTGTGCAGGTGAAATAGTTTTGGAGAAAAAGGAAGGAAAAACATCCAAACCGTTCTGTCTTCTCTCATTAATTCCACTATAAGATTAGCAAAATGTGTACTATCACCTAATGTGGAAAATCATAGTCAACCAAAACTAACAAAATTAGATTAACCTGCAGTGGCTAATTAGAGAGAATGTTCTAATAATAATATGCCATTTAGCAGACGCTTTTATCCAAAGCGACTTACAGTCATGCGTGCATAAATGTTTTGTGTATGGGTGGTCCCGGGGATCGAACCCACTACCTTTGCGTTACAAGCGCCGTGCTCTACCAGCTGAGCTACAGAGGACCATGTTCTCCCATTCCAAATAAAATATATGGGAGGCAAAGTGTCACTGCCACATGGAAAACCAAACTCCGTTAACATTTTTCACAGATTCTGGGCAAGTTTCAAACCAGATTTTCTCCTTTGAAAATGTGTTTTCCACACTGTGTGGACGTATGTGAAAGTACTCATCTGGAGTGAATAGGGAAAAGAGCCATGTGGTCGATGCTGCTGCTGGACCAGCCATATCATCAATGCACAGACGACTGGTAGGAATATCCCTCCCGGTAAAGAGGGAGTTGCGTGAAAGGGAGATGTCGCAAGTTCAGAAGGCCCTGCCAGATCAGCCATAAAAGCCCTGGGACATGCAGACTGGCCCCTGCTCAAGAACTACACTTACACAGCTGGGGAGAGGGGGGCAGGGGGTGACGGGGCTCACTGAAAATAACACTCATCTGGTTTGCATTTCACTGATTGAGGGATTACAATGGTGCTTGTAAAGTGTCACTGTGATTAGAATGTCAGTAATCCTTATCTAATTGTGGTTACATTGTCTAATGCATGTTTCCAGTTTACCATATAGTGTGCTAAACAACGTCTAATGATGGTAATATTGGATTATTAGAGTTAGAAATGTTAGACAAGTCATGCACTGAATCAAAGCTTAGCCATTGGCTATCATGGGTCTGTTTGTGACTGGGATAGGTCCTACCTTTGCATTCTGGACATCCGGTGGAGCTCCATGTCATCACTCCCACGGAAGCCTTTGGCAAACGGGTTGTTCTCTATCTTAAGTTGGGTTATCTGCAAAACAGAAAGCACATTTGTCATACACAATTCAACCGTCAACACAATTCAACCGTCAATTAGCCTACAATATTATGTAAAAAGAAAACTTACCATCACAATGCCATACACTTTTCCTTTTTCCTATATTCTGTGAGAAGGACTTGTTGTGTCCTTCAATGCCTATAGCAGGACATCTTCACTTAAAACCAGCGTCTTCACCCTCCCATGTGGAACATCATAAAGCCTCAAGATGGTTTTAGGATGAAACACTGGCCATACGTCCACACGCACACTGGTCAGTAGTCGCATGACAATCTTAACTTTTCAAATAAGCACTCAAAAGGGAAGAAACCTCACAAAATAATTTAGCATGATAGGTCTACTGTACTACTTGGTTGTTGTGCACCTGGTTTAGATATTAATGTTTAGATTAAATGACCATGTGCTCAGACCATTAAGCACACAATTCAAATCTGAAAAACACATTTCATTAATTTAATCTAAATATGAAAACTGTCTATCATCAAATATTAGCTTGCTGGACCACACAACTATATAAATATTATAGTGGATCAGGCTACAGATCTAAAGTTGATGCCAGAAACGTAATTTCCCATGGAGCTATATACTGTAAAAAGTATTTAGTTCTGCTAACTACATTTATTTTGTGGAAACCCGTTGCCTAGAACCATTTGAGTAACCCAACACAAAGTATTTCAGTGTTCAATACTTAACCATATAAGGTGGTCACTTTATTACTTTATCTTTTTAAGTTGTAAATACTTTGCTGTTTTTTGGGGGGTGAACTTTCTGACACTAAATTTTTTTTTTTTTCTTACTATAACTATTGAAGTTACTTGAACATTAATATTTGTTGTAGTGAACATATACATTTATTTATCAGAACAACACAGATAAATCCAGTGTTTTTTGCTCAAATATCAATGTCTGACTACTACTTTATTATATTAAGTAAAGATGTAACACATAATGAAATCAAGAAAGAACAACTTATTTAGATTGACTTTAAAACATTAAATAATCATAACTTGTAAAAACTCTAACTAGATTAGCAGAACACAAAGTTATTTACTCAATAATAAACAGTACTCAAAAATATAAAGTGATAAGAAATCGTATTGACATATGAGTTAGTACCACTTTTATGATTTGAGTTCTATTGACCACTGGCTAAATTTGCGTAGCCACTACTCAATTTCTTTAATGAGTTACTTTTTACAGTGTAGGGAGCAAGTAGCCCATCTTGGAAACAATTATATTATTTTCCAGATTGGACCAAAGCCATAGATTTTTCTTATTCAACAATGGATAATGGAATGAAGTTCTAACAGCCAACTAAATAGTAACGACTTGAGGTTAAACAGAATGCAGGGATAGCCCTCTAACAGGGCACGCGGTTTCTGGCAGGGAGACATAATTAGTTGGCTGGTCTGCTGTGCTTCCCGCCTCACAACAAGACTGGATTTTTGTTTACGCGCTGGCTCTCACTTTCCACAAAACCCTGTAAAATATCTCATTGAGACATACACGTTTTTAGCTTCTCGTTAATGCACTGTGCGTTTGGCAAAAGTCTAGATTTTCTTTGGGAAGCAAATGTAGAATAAAGTGTGGATAATACAGAAGTGTGGGGATACTGAATCTTACCATATTTCAACAACACGATTCTCAAAATGATTTCTCAAAAGGTATCTAGCCTATTAAAAAAGCAATAATTTTGAAAATAACTGTTGGTGGTACAAAATGTTTGCAAAAATAACTTGTAGCCTACACATGCTCAACAAAATATGCCTATAGGCCTACCTAAAAGCCTAACTGATATTTTAATCGCTTAATATCCCTATTTAATTGTAAGACAATTAGGCCTATGCAGGATAACCTAAGGTGTTTCAGGTGAATAGGACTATGAAATTACAAAGGGGGGCATGAAAACGAAGGCTATCTTCACATTTGAATAGCATAGTAAATGCAAATGTTAATAGAACGAAACCTAATTCACTAATAAAACTTTGATTAATATTTTCTATAGGCTATTGCGCGTCAACCAGGTTACATACAGTATATGTTCACTTGGACGAATTCATACCAGACTATACAAATGTAGAACTTTTTCCAAACTGTTTTATAAATATTGTATAGGGTGCGGTTGGTCTTATAAGAAAGAAAGCGCCATGCACGAACTAACCCTGTTCGTATGAAAAAACTACACGCCTGGGGTGACAGTTTCCTAACAATTCTGGAAACATTTATAGGCCTAAACACCCCATTTAATACAAAGCAAGTTGTTACCAATGCTGGTTCGTTAGATAGCCTACTTGCCTTGACTACCAAGGATAGCAATCATGACAAACATTCATTCATAATAGGCTACTGCATTTCTTTATCAGGCATTGCATGTGATACGCTATTTGGCTATGGTAGGCCTATTTACCATAATGCAACTATAATTTGTAAGAGGTAGCCAATACGTTCAGATTCATAGGCCTATAGGCCCAGTTTTTTATGTAGCCTATATAGAACTAACTCATTTGAGAACAGAAGATATTTGAAAAGGCGAGTTTTTTTTCGAAATAGTTTATTCAGAAGGAAACATTTGTTTTCAATTCAAGCATAGATGGGTATGGGCAAGTTTGACCGTTCTGAATAAACTGTTAACAGGTGGCTGCTCGCCTTTGTGCGCGTTCCCCCAAAAGGCATGGCATGATAACTTTCTCTTAGCTTAATTGGCAGATGTAACATTCTTTGATTATGTATTCGTGGTCAAATCAGAATAGAGTGTTTGTCTGGAAGTCTGGCAGGCTCTGGTAGCCTCATAATAATTAGCCCACGTTGCATTCTCAGGAGCCCTCAAACTCCCTGAATATAATTAATGGTTTCTTCAGAGTTTCAGTCATTTGGATTTCCTGTTTCTCAGTGTCTTTGGGAATTCGGATTGGCTCAGGACACGTTAAGGGTCCTTGCCCCCTCTCGCATATTCCCTCTGTCCCACACTAAAATCTGACTCAGACATAGTTAAAAACGGATGTTAAACAGACGCAGAAATGATTGGGCAGCACTCCTACGATTTTGAGTAGGCCTAGTCGGATTTGAGGAAAATGAATTCGTTTGATATGATTTCTATGTCTTCTCTTCGTAAATAAACGTGCCAATGCGCAGCCAAAATAAAGCACATGCAACAGGTGGTTGTAAATGTTTGAAAGTTCATATATGACAATATCACACTACATAAATGAATGAAAATATACCCACTTTTGAATTAGAACTTACTTAATAAGTACATTACAACACTTGACTTTAACCATTTATCTTCCAGGGATTTAAGTGTAAATAGACTATGCCTATATTTTTCTTAATGGTTTAATTTCAGTCTGAAAATATTTTGAAAACATTTTATATAGGCCTACACCACATTTTTGTGAATAATAAATTCAAATGAGGAAATTGGCTTTCTGATAAACAACCCTGAGCGTTCCATGGGAGGATTGTGTCCAACCATAACCATTCATTGCATAAAGACGAATAAATATTACTACGTGAAATGCTGAAAAGCTCATAATTCAGTGACAAAATTGCACTTTAAATTTTATTATTTTTTAAAGAAAGCAGGACGCCAAACAGTTAATATTTTCGTTCATATGCGAACTCAAATTCGTTCATGTTCGAACCTGTGAATTATTAGCCTACATTTACATTATACAAATAAAATAAATGCATGCATACATTTATTTTTTGTCATCAATATTCATCACAATATGTACCATTTCGAGATTTATTGCAGCTTCAGGCTAAAAAAACGAGTTGCTTTAGGCCTATTTCTTACAGGCTAGGCTAACACCTACATTTTCTCTAATTGTATTAATAATATGCCTAGTTATAATAATAACTGTAGTAGCCTGTTAATAATACACTATTTATAAAGCCTAAACATAACAAAGCACATATAAGCATATAATAAAACGTCCACAATTTATGGACGTTAGACTCACGCCCTGAGCCTTATCTGTAATCCGTATCATTCACTAAAGTTTCATGAAACTGCACCAGTTGAAATGTCCAAAAGTCTCTTGAGTTCTTGCCTTGTCCAATATTTCGGACATGCGGTTTCCCCGACCCCATACTCACATCTGTCAATGACCTGAATATGATATCAGTGATTATCAGACTTGAACCTCGTGTTCTGCCACTGCTCATGGTGACATAGGCCTACATTAGACATTGTGGGGAAAGGACACACTCCATCCGCTTTATTGTTCAATCTTTGATAATCAGCTCATTCATCAGTTTTCAGTCTTCCCGTCACGTCTTTAGCAGCAATGTTGGCCTACAGCATGAAGAACTTTCTGATGTTCATGAACTGATTTCGATTTATCCATGAAGTGATTTTATAGACTATATGTCTATAAAATTAAGGCAAGGGCAATGCAAAAATTCGATTTCTCTATATGCCAAAAAGTTTTCATTAGTTCTAAACTGATTGTAATTGGGCCTACACATCTATAATACACTGGCAAATTCACACCTATTTAGGCTATTTTTACACAGATAAAACCATGGCGTAAATAGAACACTTAGGCCTACCTTATGGTTCTGGTAAGATGTAACCGCAATGAAGGCAGTCTCGGGGAAGACGTGGGTACAGAACGCCGTGTTTTTGGAGCCAAAGCCATTATTTTCATCCGCTTTCACGATGTGAATCCTGGGTTGGTATTTATGCATGGAGTTGAGGATAATCTGAAGAGAGAAATGTATTCCATTAAACGCCTTTTTGTATTTGGACAATTTCTCCTGACAAATACCCTGATGCATAATCCCACCAAAACCCAAATTCTGATATTATCAAAATCACATTCAGATAAATAAATAAAAAATAAAAAATAAATAGGTCATTTAGCAGACGCTCTTATCCAGAGCGACTTACAGGAGCAATTAGGGTTAAGTGCCTTGCTCAAGGGCACATCGACAGATTTTTCACCTAGTCGGCTCGGGGATTAGAACCAGCGACCTTTCGGTTACTGGCACAACGCTCTTAACCGCTAAGCTATCTGCCGCCATTCAGACAATGAAGATAAAGACAACATTTTATTGCTATTGCTTTGAATAAAAACATACAAATATAAAACATACAAAATATTTAATAAAACCATGAATATACCAATATGCCTAATCATAGCAATGTAAATATATTTGACCATAGAATTTACAGTCAAAATCTAAATGTGTGCATAGTTTATATGTAGCCTAACTCTACAACCCCATCACTGAAGGGCATTACAGTAATACATTCAGTAATAAATACATACATACAATATAATGCTATTTACATTACATGATAATGCACGTATGTCAAAAGAGATGAGTTCCCATTGTAACACGTGAACATCTTCCCTTTCCCTGCTTTCCCCCTGACCCCTGACCTAGTTTGTGCCAAGTGATGACTACTACCACTGGCTAGGCTGGCGACATTAAGACGGCGGTCCACCCAGTTGAACTTGAGCCCTGAACTCTTCTCATGGGGCCCTCTCATCCGCAGGCTTTAGTCTTAATTGGTCTGACATACTGTGGAGTCATGGGCATCAGCCGTGAGCATTCTAATGGTTTTTAATTTCATTAAATCCACTTACATTTAGAGATAACAAAACAGTGTTTTTTCTCCTTCACCTCCTCAGGAACCCCTGCCCCTTCGGGTATTCCTCCTATCTGTTATCTGTAGGGTTGTTTTCGTGCATTTCAAGCACGCTGCAGAGAAAAGGGAGAGGATGCGCTGACCTCCTAGACTGGTGGGGCATTACAAAGACATGACCTCAGTGGATTCTCACAACTGATGGAACAATTTAACCTCAAAATAGAGAGTAAATTGTGATCCACTGTGAATTTTCCAAAAGCACTTTGATAGTAGGTCAGTGTACAATTAATTTGATTGTCTTCTAAACAGAAATGGGTCAACGTCTTTCAACAGCCAACACTGGAAATGCATTATGACTCAGGTTGGTTTTGCACATTATAATACAATTGGTTAAAGCTGAAGTATTTTTGAGGTCTTATAAAACACAGAATCAGATAAATACTGTGGGAGAACGAACTACAGTGCCTTCAGTCATACCCCTTGACTTATTCCAAATTTCGTTGTTACAGCCTGAATTCAAAATGCATTTAAAAAGAAAAAGTTTGCTAATTTATTGAAAATAAAATACAGAAATATCTCATTTAGATAAGTATTCACACCCCTGAGTCAATACATTGTAGAAGCACCTTTGGCAGCAACTACAGCTGTGAGTCTTTCTGGGTAAGTCACTAAGAGCGTTCCACACCTGGATTGTGCAACATTTTCCCACTTATTATTGTCAAAATTCTTCAAGCTCTGTCAAATTGGTTGTTGATCATTGCTAGACAACCAATTGCAGGTCTTGCCATAGATTTTCAAGTAGATTTAAGTCAAAACTGTAACTTGGCCACTCAGCAACATTCACTGTCTTCTTGGTAAGCAACTCCAGTGTAGATTTGGCCTTGTGTTTTAGGTTATTGTCCTACTGAAAGGTGAATTAATCTCCCAGTGTCTTGTGGAAAGCAGACTGAACCAAGTTTTCCTCTAGGATGTTGCCTGTGCTTAGCTCCGTCCTACTGAAGGGTGAATTAATCTCCCAGTGTCTTGTGGAAAGCAGACTGAACCAAGTTTTCCTCTAGGATTTTGCCTGTGCTTAGCTCCATACCGTTTCTTTTTTTATCCTGAAAAACTTGCCAGTCCTGAATGTTTACAAGCATACCCATAACATGATGCAGCCACCACTATGCTTGAAAATACAGTGCCTTGCAAAAGTATTCATCGCCCTTGCCGTTTTTCCTATTTTGTTGCATTACAACTTGTAATTTAAATATATTTTTTGGGGGATTTTATGTAATGGACATACACAAAATAGTCCAAATTGGTGAAGTGGAATGAAAAAAATTACTTGTTTCAAATAAGTATAAAAAATAAATAACGGAAAAGTGGTGCGTGCATATGAATTCACCCCTTTTGCTATGAACCCCCTAAATAAGTTCTGGTGCAACCAATTACCTTCAGAAGTCACATAATTAGTTAAATAAAGTCCACCTGTGTGCAATCTAAGTGTCACATGATCTGTCACATGATCTCAGTATATATACACCTGTTCTGAAAGGCCCCAGAGTCTGCAACACCACTAAGCTAAGAATTTGGCACCACAACAAACCTGCCAAGAGAGGGCCGCCCACCAAAACTCACGGACCAGGCAAGGAGTGCATTAATCAGAGAGGCAACAAAGAGACCAAAGATAACCCTGAAGGAGCTGCAAAGCTCCACAGCGGAGATTGGAGTATCTGTCCATAGGACCACATTAAGCTGTACACTCCACAGAGCTGGACTTTACGGAAGAGTGGCCAGAAAAAAGCCATTGCTTAAAGAAAAAAATAAGCAAACATGTTTGGTGTTCGCCAAAAGGCATGTGGGAGACTCCCCAAACATATGGAAAAAGGTACTCTGGTCAGATGAGACTAAAATTGAGCTTTTAGGCCATCAAGGAAAACTCTATGTCTGGCACAAACCCAACACCTCTCATCACCCCGAGAACACCATTCCCACAGTGAAGCATGGTGGTGGCAGCATCATGCTGTGGGGATGTTTTTCATCGGCAGGGACTGGGAAACTGGTCAGAATTGAAGGAATGATGGATGGCGCTAAATACAAGGAAATTATTGAGGGAAACCTGTTTCAGTCTTCCAGAGATTTGAGACTGGGATGGAGGTTCACCTTCCAGCAGGACAATGACCCTAAGCACACTGCTAAAGCAACACTTGAGTGGTTTAAGGGGAAACATTTAAATGTCTTGGAATGGCCTAGTCAAAGCCCAGACCTCAATCCAATTGAGAATCTGTGGTATGACTTCATGATTGCTGTACACCAGCGAAACCCATCCAACTTGAAGGAGCTGGAGCAGGTTTGCCTTGAAGAATGGGCAAAAATCCCAGTGGCTAGATGTGCCAATTTTATAGAGACCTACCCCAAGAGACTTGCAGCTGTATTTTTTTTTTTTTTTTTTTTTTTTTTTTGGGGGGGGGGGGGGGGGGGGGGTGAATAGTAATGCACGCTCATGTTTTCTGTTTTTTTGGTCTTATTTCTTGTTTGTTTCACTTTTTTTTAATTTTTTGCATTTTCAAAGTGGTAGGCATGTTGTGTAAATCAAATGATACAACCCCCCCCCCCCCAAAAAAAAAAAAAATCCATTTTAAATCCAGGTTGTAAGGCAACAAAATAGGAAATATGCCAAGGGGGGTGAATACTTTCGCAAGCCACTGTATGGAGAGTGATACTCCATAATGTGTTGTATTGGATTTGCCCCAAACATAACACTTTGTATTTACAGTACTACGTTAGTGACTTGTTGCAAACAAGATGCATGTTTTGGAATATTTGTATTATGTACAGGCTTCCTTCTTTTCACTCTGTCAATTAAGTTAGTATTGCGGAGTAACTCCAATGTTGTTAATCCATCCTCAGTTTTCGCCTATCACAGCCATTAAACTCTGTAACTGTTTTAAAGTAGCCATTGGCCTCATGGTGAAATCCCTGAGCAGTTTCCTTCCTCTCCGGCAACTAAGTTAGGAAGGACGCCTGTATCTTTGTAGTGACTGGGTGTATTGATGCACCATCCAAAGTGTAATTAATAACTTCACCATGCTCAAAGGGATATTCAATGTCTGTTTTTGTTGTTATTTACCCGTCTACCAATAGGTGCCCTTCTTTGCGAGGCATTGGAAAACCTCCTTGGTCTTTGTGGTTGAATCTGTGTTTGTAATTCACAGCTCGATTGAGGGACCTTACAGATAATTGGTTGTGTGGGGTACAGAGATGAGGTAATCATTCAAAAATCATGTTAAACACTATTATCGCACACAGAGTGAGTCCATGTAACTTATTATGTGACTTGTTAAGCACATTTTTACTCCTGAACTTATTTAGGCTTACCATAACAAAGTGGTTGAATACTTATTGACTCAAGACACTTCAGCTTTTCATTTGAAATCAATGTGTAAAAATTTCGAAAAACATAAGTACACTTTGACATTGTTGGGTATTGTGTGTAGGCCAGTGACAAAAAATCTATATTTAATCAATTTTAAATTCAGGCTGTAACACAACAAAATGTGGAAAATGTCAAGGGGTGTGAATACTTTCTGAAGGCACTGTATATTTTCACATTCACCAATCCCACCACCAGTGGTGTAAAGTACTTAAGTAAAAATACTTTAAAGTACTACTTAAGTAGTTTTTTGGAGTATCTATTTTTGACTACTTTTACTTTTACTTTTACAAAGAAAATAATGTCGTTTTTCCTCCATACATTTTCCCTGACACCCAAAAGTACTCGTTACATTTTGAATGCTTAGCAGGACAGGAAAATGTCCCAATTCACGCACTTATCAAGAGAACATCCCTGGGCATCCCTACTGCTTCTGATCTGGCAGACTCATGAAACACAAATGCTTCATTTGTAAATTATGTCTGAGTGTTTTAGCATGTCCCTGGCTATCCGTAAAATAAAATAAAAATGGTGCTGTCTGGTTTGCTTAATATAAGCACTTTGAAATTATTTATACTTTTACTTTTGATACTTAGGTATATTTTTGCAATTACATTTGCTTTTGATACTTAAGTATATTTAAAACCAAATACTTTTAGACTTTACTGAAGTAGTATTTGGCTGGTTGACTTTCACTTTTACTTGAGTCATTTTCTATTAAGGTATCTTTACTTTTACTCAAGTATGACAATTGGGTACTTTTTCCACAACTGCCCACCACAAAGCCTTCAATGAAGGTTGGTTGGGGACTTTAAAATAATTTATGAACATCAGCGTATATCACCGACACTGCAAATGTACAAGTTACTGACAAGGTAAAAATCTCTCGTTCTGCCCCTGAGTAAGGCAGTTAACCCACTGTTCCCCCGGAGCCGATGACGTGGATATCGATTAAGGCACCCCCCCGCACCTCTCTGATTCAGAGGGGTTGGGTTAAATGCGGAAGACACATTTCAGTTGAATACATTCAGTTGTACAACTGACTAGGTATCCCACTTTCCCTTTTCCCTTTATCTGGCTAACAGATTCACAATGATACAAACCATTGGAATGGTTTGATTTACACCATTCAGATGGTTGTAACCTTGTCTTCTAACTCCCATGTCTGTCATGTAACCTACACACCAAAAGTATTGTTTTAATTTCTTACAAAACAACAACATGAAGCACAGACAGACATACTGTGGGTTGGTTCCCTGCATGTCTGTCTGAAGGGGCGACCAGAGTAGAGCAGACCACCCACTAGGCCTCCAGCACACGCCTCGTCTCCCTGCTCTGCTGCCTGGCTCTCTGCATCTCCATTCTCTGTATGATAGTATTTAGTATTAGTGAGGGATCACCCTGGGTCCCCTGCGGCTGCCCTCCGCTTTCAAGTTCCTCCACATCAGAGGGCTTTCTGAATCTATTGCTCATCGCATACTGCCATTCGAACATAAACAGTGCGATATCCACAACCTACCCTGCTGGCAAAAACATGTGTGGGGAGGACTGGACGAGTGCACCAGCACCAGCAAATTGTGGAGAAGATGAATAACGTGGAAAATTTTTTCGCAAGTTAAGAGGAAGATCAAAGCCATAGCTGAGGCTTGTGATAAGTGTTGTGTTGGATAAACCGTAGTTCTTAAGTTGAAAATGGATAATCATACTGTATGTTTATATACATACTGTTGGTATCAGATAGAGACGAAAGGCTCAGTTAGCAACATGTAACCCAAATAGCTGAGATTATACCATCTACATGATTGAGAATAAGAAACATAAAATATATAGATGTTGTCAATAAGATGCATGTTAACATTGACCATATATAATTAACTGTAGAAATCTATCCTAGGAAATATCAGAAATCCCTTCAATAAACTCACATTCATAGTCAATTCCAAACATAGAGTAATAAAAAACATTAATTTCAACCAATGGAGATGGCTTCTAAACCATATAGGAGCCACTGTTCTATCGCAGCATGTTCTCTGGCTGAGGAGGGGAGGTCCTGCTCTGCTCTGTCTAATATCCAGACAGTTTCAGGTCCCTCCTATAACTGGCTCAACCTACCTCACCGACATGTTTCAGCTCCACGTCCGAAGCTAGTAATTATAAATCGTCTCAAAGTTATGTCAGCCAGCTGGACCAACAAGCTGATGGAATATGTTTTTGGCCCGGCAGCAGTGTTTCATTTATGAATCCCATGGTACTCCCTGAGCACGAAAGAGGGCAAGCCAGGAACCACTGCAACCAATCAAAAATGCATTCTGCGACGCGAAATTTACAACACCTCTCACATTCCAACTGAACTGAGCTCCAATTTCATTCTACTAGCTTGGTTTTGGCAAGGCAACAATCGCTATAAATTCTCACACACCGCCAATGGAGTCATGTGATCAGGCAGAAGATAGATAGTGCTGTAGGTGATAGTTAAAAAGAGTAAAATCTGTCCTATTACTGACTTCAGAATCACAAGCATGGTGCTATAGATTTGCAGTAAGCCTATACTTTTACGAATGCAAACAATAAAACATTATTTCCAATCAACATACTCCCTACTACAGCTATCATCAATGACTACAAGTTGCTATTAAATTTGACTGATTTTGTGCTGACCTTTATAGTGTTATGGTTTGCACCCAGTCTGTTATGCTGAAGTAATATCACATATTTGCTTCACTCTGAGCAGAAAGAGTAGGTTCCACCAACTGCAATTCTTATCAGCTTCATACAAATAGAATTAACAAGGAAGTGACCAATATTGACACTTTCCTGCCTGTCATAATTCAAGAGATGGATAGAGGAAGTTTATCACTTAGCTTTCTATAATTTCTTATTGGTTCATTTGTGCATAATCTACTTCCTTATTTCAATTTCTATAACAACCACTATTGTTTTTTGGGTTGTCAACAATAGCATAGGGCTGTTTTTATGTCCTATAAGGGATATGACTATTGTATTGTATTGTATTGTATTGTAATCTGTCCAATCCTTCATTCTCTGTTGATGTGTAATTTGGCCAAAATGTCACCCACACCTCCAACCTCATGAAATCTCTAGCCAAGAGCACCATTTTTAACATCGAAACAAATAGATGATGTAATTGATGTTTGTGTTTGCTATTTTGTTTCCGACATGGATCTCAAAATCTGGGGTATTGGGAGTTCATAATAATAGGTCTTTAAAGGGAAAGAAACGGATGCCAACTGACTTCTAATCTTTACTACTGCAAGCAGATGCTGTGTTAATCATTATAAGCCGTAAGTATTCCTTTACGAAATTCATCAAGCATCTTGCAGACAAACCCGTAACATATGAAGAGTTAAGTAACCGTAAACATACGTGACCAAAAGGATCCAGGTGGTTATTCGTCAGTTTCAGCTTCTGGAAAGAGACAAGCTGCCTCATCCAATGCGCCCCCGTCGCAGGAGAGTCCGGGTGAACGTAGAGCCTCCCGGGCATGGCAGGCTCGGCCTTCCCGGTCACAGACCTGAATCACAGCACCAAAGTCAGCGTTTTACCCTAAAACCAGAGCAACATTAACCCATCTATAAATGGTAGGCTAGGCCTATGCTTATGTGAGCAGATACAAGCGACATTTAACCTACAAAGTTGTTCCACTCGTGAAAAATACTTTCTCACATTAAAATATGCTGTTTATGAAAATGCTTAGGCTCCCTTTCCCTTTTCATCGGAAATAGTGGTTTAGCCTAATATGTAGCCAAGGCTTCTTCGAAATAAATTCAGTTAGGCTATTTGGAAGTAGGCTTAGGGTTTGTTCCAAAACAGGAGATTTTATCAAGGTTATCCAGTTAATTAAATTGAAGTTTTGAGAAATGCCTTTAGTTGTAGCCTAGCCTATAGTTTGTAATACTGTACTCTCGCCCCGCTGGAATAAGAATGACACATTATTGTAAAAATGGCTATTGCATGACAATAATTAAAATGTAAAAGAAAATTACAAATATAATAGCCTATATTAGGTATGTCGTGCTACGTGGACAGTTTGGTTGGGTCAGCCTAATTAGCATAACCAATGCTCTGAACGGATCATTATCTGCGGTATTGGCATGTGATTATCCTCCTTAAAAACTCTCCATTGAAAACCACTGATCCAAACAAGGCATTCTTGACCAGATGGACATGACACTAACAACTAGTGTTTAGGCTATGTTTCGCTGATGGTAAAGATTGTATTTCAGAGGTGTCCAACGAGATCTACACCCTCACCAAAGGAAACATCAACACAAATATGAGTTCATTAATTGGCATAAACCACCTCTAGTTGGTAGTCAGCAGAACTCCGCAGCACTTGCAAAGGATCCCCCCCTACTCCACACGAAAGCTATTTCTTCTTCAGAATTGGTAAACGTTTAGTACTTGAAACATAGGCTAAGGCTGCATGTCTCAAAACATCAACATTTTGAGACATTTGAGAAATAATGAATCGTTTGCTAAAGAACCAGTAAATGTACTCAAACATAATTTGAGCCATAAGCCGTAGGTCAAACTTATTTCAATAAAAAACGTTTTTAGTCCGAAGACTGATTATAAATCTCATTCCGATGTGTGAAGTATAATGCTTTATTTACATGAACTGGATACGGCCTAATACTAGGCTACTTTATTGCACATTGACTACAGTTTCCATCTATCTATATACAATAGCCTGATAGCTATAGGCCCATATGCTACTGAAATGTACTGTAAAGTTATTAAAACTCAGTAGGGGGAGAGGGGTTGTACTCCGCAAACAGAAAACACCTAATTGATCAGTGAAACATCCTGGATAAAAAATAGGCTACATATGATAATGTGTTCATATCTTGTATACAGGTATGCTACTTATTGTCATAAGGCTGTGGACATTGGCTCTGATGCGATCCCAGAGGCACTTTATTTGTAAAAGTCTTACACACCATTTATTATCAGCGAATTTGTAGCGATGGTCGTCCGCAGGCACGACATCCATCAGGAGTATGTATTTCGTTTTAGGGTTCAATCCAGTGACCTTCACTTTGAAGCTGGGAAACATTCGCCTGCAAATGAAGCAAGATAGTTACACAATGCAAGTGCATACATTAATACATTATGACTGTTATAGGCTATCGTTGATTGAAGTGACCTGATATTTGCTTAAGGCAATGTATGATTATTTACAGTCTATGCTATGACATGTATGGACAAGAGTCGATATTCAACTCTGCCATATCAATTGATTACTTCCGAAATCACACTGTCAAATTCAATGAAATTCTGCGACCTTGACGCACAGTTGTTGCATAGAAGCCCACAACTTGTTCCAAACCCAGCAAGCTTAAAAGACCAACATATGACCAACTATGCATACACTGCACGTCTTTTGGTGGATCAGGGTGTAAACCCACTGGTTCACAACTAATGTATATGCTATCAACGCCAGATAGCCTATGTAAAACCAAATTAAATTTAGAACAACAATCAATCAAACATAATAAAATGAAAGGGAATTAGGTAACCTAATATATATATATATATATTGTTCGTTTGGAAGCGACTGCATACTTTTACGCATGCAACAACTGAAACGAATGCATACTTCAACAAAATAAAACATTTATGAAGGAAGAGCCTAAAGTTTCACGGTGAAATAAACGTTAGCTGCTTTTGCATCAAATGCCTCACTAAAACCAGATGCATGGTAGCCTGCACATATATTTTCACACGTGCATATGTTCAGAACTTTTACACAAGTAACCTGATGAAATAGGGTCTACCAGGTTGGAAAAACGTCAGTAGTCAGTGAGTGGCTGAGAGTATTGAAATTGCTAAGGAAAAGAAGTCGTACGCCGATTGAGATCCAGGCCTCTAGGCCTACAAGCTGTTTCTCAAACGTGTGACCTGCCTGAATAAAGAGGCAGCGGCGAGGTGATGGGAAGGGGTAAGGGCTGGTTAATAACGAGGGAGGGAGGGATGATAACGTCTCAAGCCAATAAGGGGGGAATGAATGGACAGAATATAAAGACAGCTTTATGCAGTTGAGAAAAAAATATGAACCTAGTGCAGACTGTAAGGATGTTGAGACATAGCTAAAATGAATAATAAATAGGCTACCTAAGAGCCACAAGACGATTTGTTAACATGAGCAGAGACCACCGACCATCATGCATATTCAAGTTCACACTAAACTGAGGTAGAAGATTATCTCAACCATATTCCGTGAGAGTCTCTGAGCAGCACAGGTAGGTGTAAGCCTAATTGCTGAGCAGATTTACACCGGGCTCATCTCGTCCTAAATTCCTTAAATGCAAAATCGTGTAGGCCTTTTTGTCTTGAAAACGTGAAGAACATAAGGAAATAATGATTTTTTTTTTTTTCATACATCCAATTTGGAAAAAGACAATAAACGGTTGGAAAAAAATGACAGGATTAAAATAATTGAGGATATATAGGCTATAAAGCATGTTTCTTTGACTTTTATCTAACCAAGGGCCAGTCTCAAACCGACTATAGGCCTATAGATTTATTCAGAAACTATGCATTGGTACATTGATACAGAATGAAGTGTAAATACAGTAGGCCTCCCTCCAGAAAACGAATACAACATCAATATAACTATCACTATTGCAACACAAAAATATTTATAAAAATCTATTTTCTCCGTGGAAATAAGCCTACGTATGGACGAAATCACTTTTTCAGACAGCGCTGTCAAAACTAAAACCACTAAATGCTGACCATTTTCATTTACAAATAATGATTAAAACATAACCTCAAATGCATTTTATGTTTCTCAAATGTATTTGCATAACCCGTTAATGCCAGTATAAGCAGTTGTTGCTCTCTTACCTTCCCGCTTTGGTGATGATCATCTCCGTCCCCACCTCGTGAAACTTCGCCCACAGTTCCCTCTCATGCAGGTACACTTTTATCCCCTCCATTCCCTTCAAAATTAGACAAGTAAAAGGAATATCAATATTACTTTTCTTGCAGTTGAGACCATTTGGTAAGCTTATTTAGCCCAATTATTATACAAATAATATTTATGTCACTAGGCCTATGTCATGTCATTCATACAGGGTAAATGTTGCACTGTGGTATAAATTCCATAATAGTTTAACAAAAACCTAGACATAATATAATTTCATATAAGCCTACTATTCACAATGGGCTACCTTGTGAAACAGTAGGCTACTATTCTGAAATAGTATACCATCATTTTCCATTAAGCCTATAGTATAACTAGCCTATACATTCCGTGCTTTGACTATAAATAGGCAGATAATAAAATCTCTCAAAGAAAGTACACGAAACTGCAATAACTGCAGCACTGGTCTACGGTAACCAACTACCAAGCGATTCCTCGAGTTGATTGACATGATAAATTCACGAAACTTTGTAGCCTATAGGCCATAGTTCAAAACAATGGGAATTCTACGCTTTTATGCACACTAAGGTCTGAAAGGTTGGCAGTGCATGTACTTATCTCATGAGTCGTTTACAGATATCCATATTTAATAAATAGGCCTAGATATAGGTCCAGAGCAACCCCTAGCCAGTGACTTGAGACCTGAAGTGCATAGGCTCAAAATAGCATGTAAAGCTGACCTGTTGAATATAGGTCGTCTGGGAGGATGGAGATTTGCTCGAAGTTCCATTTTGTTTCTCTGCTTTACTCTCAGTGTGTAATTCCTTTGACTCTGACCCGCTGGGCGAATTTTGCAGTCCAAATGTTTCCTTCTGGTCTGCCATGTCTGGAGTCAGATCGAAACAAAAGCGCATTTCAACCTCCGATTCTCAGTCCTGAATATGCGCATAACTTTTATTCAATACGTTTTTGATGTGACATTACCCGTCTGAAATGAGTTGTAGGCCAAAATAAAATGTAGCCATGATTAGACAACATGGCCTGCTGTTAACATGGCCAACACACACACACACACACACGCGCACAATTTATTTAGGTTAATTTTGTGCCTATATCAGTCAATATGTTTCTTTAAAATATAACTTAATTGCCAGAGCAGAGAACTACTAATACGGATATAGACATAAGACGTTTTTGCACTGTCTTCATTCTTCTAATACTTTTCAGCTTTGGACTCTTTCAAGGAACAAATGTCGTGCGTGAGTCGCAGTGATTCACAACTATGAGGGCTATGGCTTTCATGATAACTGATAGCCTACAATAAAGAAGAAAATAAAGACTTCAATAACAGCACAAATGATTACAATAACAAATAATGATGAAGGCTACTTGTAATATGTAGGCTAGGCTATAATGAACATAACAATTGTGATATATTCATAGCAAGGACGCCACTCATTGAAGGTTTCTAAATTCGATTATCCTGACATTGCTAGTATTTGTAGGGAATCTAGACAAATGGTCACAAACCCATAAGTTCGGGAAAGATCCTACAGGTTGTGTATTCCTAAAATGCTAATGGTAACAAAAAACAATAGCCTACCATAGATGGTGTTGGTAACAAAAAACATATATTTTTATTTGTAGGTATAAAAAACAGAGAACACGACGTAGATCCATGCAAAAAATACGATTTTCTTCCACTACGAGGGCCTACACTGACATGAACTGCGATAACAATGACAATAATGAACCACTGACCACGGGAACCCCGAATACTCCGTACAGTAAACACGGATTTACCTGATTTTCACTTTCAATGTCGTTAAGATATGGCACAGCAGAGGTCGTTTCTTCAAAAATGCGAAGTGTTTGCGAAGAATTTCCACCTAATTCAATGTATAATCCCAATGTGTAGCCCGAAAAGCCTATCCAATATCTCCATGGATTTTCTCTATCTTCAGTGCAAGTCCAAATTTACCGCGACCAAGCGAAAACGTACAGATTCAGGAGTCTAGCAAAGATGGCTAAAATAAGCGCGCGGTGTTACTTTATTGTACATTTTAGAGTTGATGACCATTGTTCGGGAATCCTTCCCTGGTGATAGCACATAGCAGTATAGCAGGGTTCCAGAGGAGCAGGTCCGTCACCACCTTCTTCCCTCCCTCCTCTCACTCCCTCTCTCTCTACGCACCAATGGCCCACGGTAGTACGCGTTACGACGCGGAAGCGCTGAGTCTGTGACGAGCAGCGTAGGCTAGTTTGGGTTATCCTCTCTGCCTATCCAGTGCATGAACAGCAATGGTCTACCCCAAGAATAGTCTTCTTCAGGTCCCACCTCCCGCGTCCCTCAACCCCCTCCGTCCTCTCTCCAAAACCTCTCCTTTACTGCTAAGTCTGCCGGAGATATTTTGCTATTGAGCAGACTCAGTAACGTTCGCCATTGTGCTTTTGTTTACATAAATAACTAATCACCGTCAATTAAGAGACAAACACAGATAAAGGCATGTATGAGAGCACATCCATCATATTTAAAAAATGCATGTGTTTATAAATTTGGCCTAGGCTTTATGATGCGTCCTGCATCAGATAACTGGAAAGTACACTTTTTGATGGGATAATTTGGGCAGACCTAAAAACAATGGCCAACAAAAGCATAGGCAAATGGGAGTGCATGTGGATAACAGGAAACAAGAAGTAAATGTGGATTGTACAGAAAATATCCATGCAATGTGTGAATGTGTAGCATTAGGTGAACATGGAGTGGGCCACGGCCGCACAGCTTTACATTCAAAGAGGAACATTCTATTGAGTGAATAACCTTTACAATATAGCACATCACAATTGTATAGGCTATTCCTTCACTTCCATAAGGATGAGTAGGCCTATAATGTAAATTGGAGGCCAGATATCGTACAAATCTATATTGAATACAAAATCACTCGGAAGATTATCCATTGCGCGCAGGGAGATTGACATAAAATATACTGAGCTTTGTCGTTGATCTCTCAGGCAGCCTCAGGGATCACAAAATGACGAAGTAGTCCGAAATTCTAGTATTTAACGGGACATTACTCTTATGTGGACAGCACCGAGAACTCTGTTTTACATTGCTTTTTTTAAATGGTGAGCTTCCTGCTTTTTTGTTAAGATGAGCACTGTGCACACTACATTAGGTTTGATTTCCCCGTGGCTATTATTCTAGTATTCAGGCGCCTTGCCTCTGATAAAACCACATTGGTTTACAGGCAATTTCCCTGACTTAATTCAGTGAGGTGTGACACACGTCGAATGGGAAGAACCGTGTGACAAAAATAATATAGGAGGAAAGCCTCCTCACACTGCGTAGTATGACCCCATAGGCTGTTCTGGGTCAGTTAAGTGGCACAATGTCAATATTTAGATTTCTAAGATGTCAGTGGTTCTTATGCCAATTACCATAACCCTGTAGCCCACACCCTGGCCCCACGCACACCACAAATGTGATGACTGACCGCTACAGTTAGGCTAGGACTCATCATAAACAGCATTTCTATTCACACGTGTCAAAATATTACCTACACATCACCAAAAGTAGAAAATAGGCCTACCCCAAAAAGACGTTTGGCATTAAATGAACGTCCTTTAAATGAACTCATCAGCTTTAGGCCTATATGGACACAAGCCCGTGCCAAATTGGATATACAAATATCCGTTTATAGTGTAATGTCTAAAGGTCGTGCGGACTGTGCATCTAGTGAAATTTTGCTCCTCAATGCTTGACATTGTAGGCCTATATCACACACACCACCATGACAAACCGGACTGCGCTATCTATAAATAGCAAATGATAACATTTACATTTTAGTCATTTAGCAGACGCTCTTATCCAGAGCGACTTACAGTTAGTGAGTGCATACATTTTTCATACTGGCCCCCCATGGGAATTGAACCCACAACCCTGGCGTTGCAAGCGCCATGCTCTACCAACTGAGCTACAGGAGGCCCTAACCCGTTGCTTCACACAGGAGAGTATCGGAACGGGTTGTTTGCAATGGTAAAATGCAAATCCAGCAAACTCATGATAATGTAGCGCAATTCTTGGCCGCCGGGGGCAAAGCAAGCGCTTTCCTTAAGATATGCCCTGAACTGTAGGCCTAAACCACAATAGGCCGCCCCATGGCATTCCTCTTTTGATAATTCTGAGAAGGAAAATATAGTAGCAAATCTAATTGAGTGAGATAGGCTGACCTTGCGAGTGCATGCATGCCTCGAAAGAGAAAGAGGTGCACCAATAGTCAAAAGACTATATTGAGGTCAGTCGTTGTAGACCTACTTTCAATATTCTAATTACTACTACTTCTGCGACTGCAGGTCAATCAAATCAAAATTAGCCTTCCGCTAATAATTCATACTGTAAGACCTTCGTGAAATTAAAACCAAGTGAGGAATAACTATTCAATAATAAATACCCTACATTACCCGAGGGCATATAACGGCTAGGCCACTCAATGCATTCTGTCAAATAAATATGGACGTTGCAGGAGGTGACAGGAGTAATGCATTTAGGAAAATTAGGGTTAAAGTGAGACTGTCCTTATAGAACAATTGCGCAAATATCACACAAAGCGCTGCACTTTTTTGTTGTTGTCAAAGACACTATTTCCATTCAAGATCTTACACAGAAGTGCGTGAGACAAAATAAATAATCATTATTACCAACTCCCTAAGGGAAAAATGCAGTAGCTTTTGAATTGTGTATAGGCAACACAACTTTATAGGAGTGATGCACAGCTCACTGCATTCTGTGTCAACATTACACCCGACGCGCCACTGAAATGTATACTCTCATACTGCATTGTTTAGCATGGAGGTGATCAGATTGGGTGATTCCAGCTTGGTTCCAATTTGACGAAATACACAAGCATGTCCATGATATTGTTTTTTTGCTCCTCCAGATGATTCACCAGAACATTCACTTCCCATGAGGACGTCTGATGCCCAAAAGTGCAACCACAATCTAATATAATTATCATAGTCTTCATCATCATAATCCTCACCATCACTATCCTTATCATCATCCTCAATATCATCATCATGGCATTATCATCATAATCATATTAGTCAACAACAGGTAAACGTGCGTAATGGGACTCAACCCTTAATTTGACAAATTAGTCTGGAAGTAGTTTTATGAACCAAACATTTTCGTTGAATGTTAATTGATAATGACTGTCAGTTCGGAAGATATCAAATTAACAGAGATTATACTATATATAAACAAATTAACTTTCAACATGGACGCCTACCTTTTGATTCCTTCCATTTAATGAAGTAATAACGAAAAACACCAATAACAACAACAATCAACTTAGCTGTGTAAAAGGACTGCCTCTAATTCGTTTCAAAATAACTGTTGGACATTAACTTAATACTAAAAAGTCAAACTGTTATTAATTAACTGCATATTTTATTGCAATTAATGATAAAGAAAGTTCAACAACATGCCAATTCCTCTTGATTGCTATAAGGCATAAACAACACCAGTGTGAAAATATTTAACGATCAAACTGCCAAATCCAAAAACGCAGAAAGGTCGGGTAGTTCAAAACTCTTTATTAGGTTGCCTTTATGCCATGTAGTTAGTTACTCTATAGCCTAACTACGTTTACAACAATAACGGTATTACTCAGGCTAGGCCTTTTAGAGTCAGCATACAATAAATAATGATTGATTGTAAGGAAATGAAACTGGAAAAAAAAACGTATTATACTGTGTAATTAGGCCTACATGTAATTCCATCGAGATTGTAAAAAAAATAATTAAGCAACATGGCACTGCATCTTATTTTTGGAATTTAATGTTAAGTCTAATCGGGAAAAAATTTATGGATTGAATTAGGCAT